CAGATGGAGGCCCGCGTTGGAGCACCGAACTGAGCCCCCCAAGATCCAAATGAGGAGCAGAAGGAGGAAGAAAATGACGAAGGACTGCGAGGGATACTATCACCCACTGATACAAGGGGTCGGATCTAATGAGAGTTTACCAAGGCCAGATGGACCGTGACTGAACGAGCATGTGATCCAACCAGATTCTCTGAATGTGGCCGGATTTTCTGAATGTGGCTGGCCTGCAGTCTTTCTGAGAAGCCATTGACAATGACACTGGGACTGGTTTCTTCTGCATATACTGGATTTTTGGGATCCAGTCTGTTTGGATGCTCACCTTCCTGGACCTGGAGGGAGGGGGGAGGAACTTGGACTTCCCACAGGGCAGGAGACCCTGACTGCCCTTGGGGACAAAGAGGGAGGAGGAGAGGGAGGGGGGAGTGGGAGGGTGTTGGGAGGAGGGGCGTAAATGGAAACTTTTTATAATTTAATAAAATTACTTTCAAAAAAAAAATAAATAAATAGACCTGTTAGTCGCGAAGAATTAGAAGCTGTTATCAAAATCCTCCTGACCAAAAAAAGCCCAGGACCAGATGGTTTCAATGCAGAATTCTACCAGAACTTCCAAGAACTGATACCTATACTCCTTAAGGTATTTCACAATATAGAAACAGAAGAGTCATTGCCAAACTCTTTTTATGAAGCTACAGTTACCCTGATACCAAAACCACATAAAGACACAACCAAGAAAGAGAATTACAGGCCAATCTCACTCATGAACATCGACGCAAAAATTCTCAACAAAATCCTGGCAAACTGAATCCAAGAACACATTAGGAAAATTATCCATTATGATCAAGTAGGCTTCATCCCAGAGATGCAGGGCTGGTTCAACATACACAAATCTATCAATGTAACCCATCATATAAATAAACTGAAAGAAAAAAACCATATGATCATTTCATTAGATGCTGAAAAAGCATTTGACAAAATTCAACACTTTTTTATGATAAAGGTGTTAAAGAGATTGGAGATGCAAGGATCATACCTAAATATAATAAAAGCTATTTACAGCAAGCCGACAGCTAACATCAAATTGAATGGAGAGAAACTCAAAGCCATTCCACTAAAATCAGGAACACGACAAGGCTGTCCACTCTCCCCATACCTCTTCAATATAGTGCTTGAAGTTCTAGCAATAGCAATACGACAACATAAAGGGATCAAGGGGATTCGAATTGAAAAGGAAGAAGTTAAACTCTCGTTATTTGCAGACGATATGATAGTATACATGAGCGATCCCAAAAACTCTACCAAAGAACTCTTACAGCTGATAAACACCTTTAGTAATGTGGCAGGATACAAGATCAACTCCAAAAAATCGGTTGTCCTATACACAAAGGATAAAGAAGCAGAGAGGGAAATCAGAGAAACATCACCTTTCACGATAGCCACAAACAACATAAAATATCTTGGGGTAACTCTAACCAAGGAAGTGAAAGACCTATTTGACAAGAACTTTAAGTCTTTGAAGAAAGAAATTGAGGAGGATACCAGAAAATGGAAAGACCTCCCCTGCTCTTGGATTGGGAGAATCAACATAGTAAAAATGGCAATTCTACCAAAAGCAATCTATAGATTCAATGCAATCCCCATCAAAATCCCATCAAACTTCTTCACAGACCTTGAGAGAACAATAATCAAGTTTATATGGCAAAACAAAAAACCCAGGATAGCCAAAACAATCTTATACAATAAAGGAACTTCTGGAGGCATTACCATCCCTGACTTCAAACTCGATTACAGAGCGACCATATTGAAAACAGCTTGGTATTGGCATAACAACAGAGAAGTCGACCTATGGAATCGAATAGAAGACCTGGATATTAACCCACAAACCTATGAACACCTGATTTTCGACAAGGGAGCTAAAGGTATACAATGGAAGAAGGAAAGCATCTTTAACAAATGGTGCTGGCATAACTGGATGTCAACCTGTAGAAGAATGAAAGTAGATCCATATCTATCACCATGCACAAAATTCAAGTACAAATGGATTAAAGACCTCAACATTAATCTGGCCACTTTGAACCAGATAGAAGAGAAAGTGGGAAATAGTCTACAAGACATAGGCACAGGAGACCACTTCCTAGGTAGAACCCCAGTAGCACAGACAATAAGAGAATCAATGAATAAATGGGACCTCCTGAAACTGAGAAGCTTCTGTAAAGCAAAGGACACCGTCAGTAAGACAAAAAGGCTACCTTCTGACTGGGAGAAGATCTTCACCAGCCCCTCATCAGATAAAGGCCTGATCTCCAAAATATACAAACAACTCAAGAAACTAGACACTAAAACTCTAATTAACCCAATTAAAAAATGGGGTGCTGATCTGAACAGAGAATTCTCAACAGAAGAACTTCGAATGGCCAAAAGACACTTAAGGTCATGCTCAACATCCTTAGCGATTAGGGAAATGCAAATCAAAACAACTATGAGATACTATTTTACACCGGTCAGATTAGCTAAAGTCAAAAACACCAATGATAGCCTATGCTGGAGTGGATGTGGAGAGAGGGGAACTCTCATCCATTGTTGGTGGGAATGAAAACTTGTGCAGCCACTGTGGAAATCAGTGTGGTGGTTTCTCAGGAAACTGGGAGTCAACCTCCCTCAAGACCCAGCAATTCCACTCTTGGGAATATACCCAAGAGATGCCCTATCATACTACAAAAGCATTTGTTCAACTATGTTCATAGCAGCACTATTTGTAATAGCCAGAACCTGGAAACAACCTAGGTGCCCCTCAATAGAAGAATGGTTAAAAAAGGTGTGGAACATATATACATTAGAGTTTTACTCAGCGGTTTAAAACAATGACATCTTGAATTTTGCATGCAAATGGATGGACATAGAAAACGCTTTACTAAGTGAGGTAAGCCAGACCCAAAAAGAGGAATATGGTATGTATTCACTCATAAGTGGATTCTAGCCATAATTAAAGGTCTTTGAGCCTATTATTCGTGATCCTAGAGAAGCTAAATAAGAAGGTGAACCTGAAGAAAATCATGTAGTTATCCTTCTGGAGATTGGAAATAGACAAGAGTGCCAGGTAACCTCGGGTACATGGGGGGGTGGGGGGTTGTTGGAAGGGGAGAGGGTTAGAGAAAAGGGAGTAGGGGAGGAATGGGGAAAGCTCGGGGTATTGGGATGGGGGGGAGGGAGGAAGGATGGATATGGGATCAGGGAAGTATATATCTCAACTAAGGGAGTCATTTTAGGGTTTACAAGAGACTTGATTATAAAGGGGATCCCAGGTCCAAGGAGAGATCCCCAGATTGTTCTCTGGACAGAGGAGAGGGTGCCTGAACCGGCCTTGGCCCATAACCATACTGATGAATATTTTGCATATCACCATAGAACCTTCATCTGGTGATGGTTGGAGATAGAGACAGAGACCCACATTGGAACACTGGACTTAACTCCCTAGGTCCAAACGAGAAGCAGAAGGAAAGAGAACGTGAGCAAAGAAGGCAAGACCAGAGGGAACCTTCATCCGAGGATGGATGGCGATACAGATGGAGACCCACATTGGAGCACCGGACTGAGCCCCCCAAGGTCCAAATGAGGAGCAGAAGGAGGAAGAACATGAAAAAGGAAATCAGGACCGTGAGGGGTGCGTTCACCCACTGATACAAGGGGACTGATCTAATGAGAGTTCACCAAGGCCAGTTGGACTGGGACTGAACGAGCACGTGATCCAACCAGATTCTCTGAATGTGACCGAATTCTCTGAATGTGGCTGGCACGGGGTCGGTCTTTCTGAAAAGCCATTGACAATGACACTGGGACTTGTTTCCTCTGCATATACTGGATTTTGGGGATCCAGTCTGTTTGGATGCTCACCTTCCTGGACCTGGAGGGAGGGGGAGGAACTTGAACTTCCCACAAGGCAGGAAACCCTGACTGTTCTTGGGAATGGAGAGGGAGGAGGAGAGGGAGTGGGGGGAGTGGGAGGGTGTTGGGAGGAGAGGTGGAAATGGAAACTTTTATAAATTAATAAACTTTGAAAAAATAAAAATAAAATAAAATAAAATACAGAATAAAGCAAAAAGAATCATATTGAAGTTGGACACAGTCACCCAATGTAAGAGAAAGAGCCTCTAGAGCAGGCACAGAAGTCAGAGATGCGCTCATTGTCACCCTAAGGAGTCCCGTACAAATGCTAAGCTAAATGCTTTATTATATATGCAGAGGACCTGGTGCTGACCTGTGCAGGCCCTGTGCTTGCTGCTTCAGTCTCTGTGAGCTCAAATGCACTTTGCTTAGTTGATTCAGAGGGCCTTGTTCTCCTGGTGTCCTGCCTCACCTCTGGCTCGGATTCCCTGAGCTCTGAGGTTATTTGATGGAGTCACCCTACTTAAACTCTCTCCCCATGTAATGTCTGGTTGTGAGTCTCTGAATCTGACCTCATCTGCTGCCAGAGGAGGCTGCTATGATGATGACTGAAAAAGGCACTGGCCTATGAGTGTAACAGAATATCATCAGCAAACATTTTAATTGATATGTTTTTAAAAAGAAAAAGACCAGTAGGGTTTGGATTTACCCTAGGTCTCTAGGCTATCTAGTCTCTGGTTCTTGGCTCTTGAGTAAGGATTCCTTTTCATGGAGTGGACTTTAAGTCAAATCACACATTGGTTGTCTCCTCCGACAAGTTCTGTGCCAACACTGGGCACCTTAACTTCAATGATGTCATCTGAGGCACATCAGTGGGTCATTAGTGCATCTCCTTCACATCCACTCAGAATCTCAGATTCCCAGAGTCAAGGACAGTGATCCTCAGACTTCTGACCAATTATAAACCAGCATTATTATGAAGATGAGGGCTGGTGGATTTATAATCTCCTAAGAATTGCATTCAAAAGCACCAAGCTTCTATTAACACAGAAATATTTCATAAGATAAAGGGTATACCACACCCAAATTATAAGAGCACTACCAACTAAATATCAAATACATATGGTTATAAAATCATGTTTATTTATAAACTTAAAGATACATATTTTAAAGCAATAAAGCATTGAACATTGTGGCTGACACATCGATGCATTGCATATCTATTTCTATGGCCACTCTGGCAAAACTCCTGACAGCAAAGACTTTTGTCACTGTTTCAGAGGGTCACCATCCATCACGGTGGAGAGGGCATGGCTGAGGATGCAAAGTGACCAGGAGTGAGTGACAGCGGCCACTGGCAGGAAGCACAGACACCAGACAGAAATCAGGGTCCTAGTCCAGAGACCTATTTCCGTTAAGTCAAGCCAATCTCGTAAACACTCCTTCAGAACAATAGTCCACAAACCTGGTGATCCAGTATTCAAGACATGATCCTATGGCAGTCATTTCAGATTCAAACCATCACATCTGTATTGTTGTTACTAGTGTTTAATGTTCGCCATTTTTTCTTCTTCCTGATTTTTCCCCTCCTCTTTCCTCAAGGTTTCCTGATCTCTGTAGTAGACCGGAGTGTGCCCTTTGAGGATAAGAGTTACTGGAGAATTGAATAACCAACAGACTGAGAAGACACTGGGTTCCAGGAGGTATCCTAGGGATTAAGGAAGATGTGGAGATGTAGTGAGATTGAAGACATTTCCGTGGGGCTCACCAACCTTGCTAGCAAGGGGAGAGTACTGGACGTAGGATCATTCCAGAGCCACGATAGATCAAGAGAGTTGTTTGGCTCTGGTTCTATGCATGTGTGTGTGTTATAGAGATGAATATTTTACATTGGTTTGGATCTCGGACTATTGATACAAATTTAAGGTTGATCTTGTTAGATGTATATTTCTGCTCTTGATTAAGGTATTGTGATTGCACAGTTCATTTAAAAATGTAATGAATAATTAATAAATATTGATGTAAGTGGGTCTTCTGTATTTCTGTTGCTTTCATTGGTTAATTAATAAAGAGACTGCTTGGCCTGATAGGTCAGAACATAGGTAGGTGGGGAAAACAGAACAGAATTGTGGGGAAAAGAAAACAGAGTCAGGCAGATGCTATAGCTCTCCTCTCCAAGATGGACACAGGTTAAGATTCTTCCTGGTAAGACACCACCTTGTAGTGCTACACACATTAGTAGAAATGGGTTAATCAAGATGCGAGAGTTAGCCAATAAGAGGTTGGAACTAATGGGCCAAGCAGTGTTTAAAAGAATACAATTTGTGTGTTGTTATTTCGGGGGTACAGCTAGCTGGGCGGGTGGCAGGAAGCGGCCTGCCGTTCCTTTTACAAAATATAGGTTAATAGATAGTCATCTATAATAGTCAAACTTTTAGTCATGTTAGTTAGGTTTTCTAGATATATATATAGAGATATATTTCAATTAGATAAGTATTCTTCAGCTCTTTCAAAGACTACAGAATATGGCATTTAAAATGTTTTAATAACTTAGGACTTTTCATTGCATGAGACACACCTGCTCCTGGCAGCACCAATCTACTTCAAGATGATGATGTGCATCGAAGAGACTTCTTAGGAGCTGGTTAGCCATTTGGGCGAGAAACTGCTCTTGCCTGGGCTGCTTGACTGGTCTTGCAGGACTCACAGAAAAATTACGGCTGAACTTGCCTAAAGGTGAGATGGTCCTTTGGGGTTACTGCTTCATGAGTCTGCAAGACATTCTGCAGTACACAGAAAAAAGTGACTGACAAATAGGTGGAATTGTCTTTAATATTTCCTGCTTTGTGGAAAAGTCCACTGAATACTAGTCCTGTAGGCTGAAGATGGATGCCCCAACGGTACAGAAAAACTTTGGGTAACTGTCCAGGCAGCAAGATATCTCTGTCATTTCTAGAGTTGTGGAATTTTACTTAGGTAATATTATACTCTTCTGGGGTCTTTGATAGAGTTGAAGAATAGTTATAGTTTTCCTTAGTTATGATAAAAGATAAAGTAGATATAAATATTGTAGCTGTAAATCTTGCTTGATACCTGTTTTGTTATATGTAATTTTTCTGTATTAAAGTTAAAAACCTTTTTATTTAAACAGAAAATGGAAAATGGTGTGGGAACCCCTTATGTATATGGGTTGCTTTTAATGGTTAATGAATAAAGAATTGCTTTCGGCAAATATATATATATGTGTGTGTGTGTGTGTGTGTGTGTATATATATATATATATATATATATATATATATATATATAGAGAGAGAGAGAGAGAGAGAGAGAGAGAGTAGGCAGAGTGAGTGAAAGAGATGCCACATAGCCTCCAGAGGGGAAAGATGCAAGCTTTTAGTTGGAACCTTGCCGGTAGGCCATGAACCTCATGGTAAAATATAAAATAATGGAAATGGGTTAATACTAGACGTAAGAGCTAGCTAGCAATACCCTTAAGTGATTGGCCAAGCACTGATTTAAATAATGTAGTTTCTGAGTGATTATTTCAGGAGTCTGGGTAGCTGGGAAATGAACAAGCAGCCTCCCCCAACATGTGTACATTCGATGTGTTCATGCACACGTGTGCATGTGCATGTAGAGGACAGACATTGGGTATCTTTCTCAACCACACTCCAGTTTAGTAGTTGAATTAGTCTCTTGCTGAACCTGGAGTTCAGGACTCAGCAAGTCCCAGAAACTTCCTGTCTCCTTCCTGGAGTGCTGGGATTACAGGACTGTGCTGCTAGACACAGCCTTTTCAGTGGATGCTGGGGATCTAAACTCAGCACTCTGCTGATAGAGCCATCTGTCTAGCCTCCCTGTTGGAAGTTTTAATACCTCACTAATGGGGAGAACTCCCCACTCTACCCCCTAGTGTAATGTTTGGTACAGTGGTGTAAGATTTCTGGTGAAAACTGAGAAAGGGCTTATAGCTCTCACTGGGGTTGGACTAATATATCTAAGAAGCAGAAGCAGAAGCAGAGGGTGACCATGAACGTGGACGTTGTCTGAAGCTTCTAGAAATGTCAGCTAGGTTGCTCAGCAAACATCTGTCTTTCCATTTCAAACATCATTCTGGTCTCAGACCTGGTCCGGGATAAGAAACATGAGATCAAATTGATTCCAAAGCTCTATACCTGGCCCAGTTGGGTCAGAAGTCTGGTTTAATTCCAGAATCACCCAGTCAAGACAATCTTTGGACCAAAACGTTCAAGGGCCAGAAAGAATACCTGCACTGATGTCTCAGAGCCAACCCGAATCCTCGAGACTTCAAGTACTGGAAAAGTCTGACCTCACTAGAAAAGGCTGTGTCCACGTGGAAGGATGTAAGCTATGATGTAATAACTGAGTAGTCAGAAAGCACCCGAAAAACATTGTTGCAAGGGAACACAAAGATTTCCAGCTCTACTGGTTTGGTCCTGGTGCTACCCTGTGCAAAATCTCCCTCTTTCCTGTCTCTGCATCTCTAATTCTCCTTTCTGGGGTGCCATGGACCTGACCAGCTGCATTCTCAATGTTATTGTACGAATGGGAAACCAAGGACTCAGGGCTCTGCGATGTGACCCCAACAACTTCTTTAGACTGTGTCAATGTAGTCAACCGCCTCAGTGTTAACGCGAGGAAGGAGGGGGGCGTGCACAACAGTTTGAAGGGAGTCCCTAAGACATCTTCCAATCTGCTGGCGAATTCATTTCGGCCCACCTACCCCTCTCAGACCTCTTAAGAAACTCCCTCTCATTTAAACTCGAATATGCCCTGAGGTGGGAAAGTTAGTACCCTTCTTCCCGCGGTTCTCCTCGGTCCCTTCTCGGGGCCCACCTTCTGCGGACGCAGAGCCGCTGGCCCGTGCGGGCTATAGCGACAGCGGTGTCTGATGCAGTCAGTCCTCTGGCCGGCTTGGGCAGCGTCCCAACCGTTCGAGCTCGGGCTGTCTGCCGCGATGCCCTGCAGGGGAGGCAGCGACACACTGCGGGGTGAAGGGACGGACGGTCGCCGCAGCGGTACCCGGGCAGGGCCCATGGCCAGCGCGGGGGATGAGTGCGGAATAACGGACGGCCGCGCCAGTCCCCGTTCGCCCGGCTCCCGACTCCTCCGGGTGATCCCCCGTCATCTCCCGCGGCCTCGGGAGGACGGAGGCGCGGCGGGCTGCGGGTGTGGGGGGCGCGGCGCTGGAAGCGCGCCGAGAGGCCGGACACCGACCCCCACACC